AAAAAAAAAAAAGAACCCAACATTTCAACAAATAGTAAGACATTTCTAAAGAAGCAATCAAGCAAATTTTAAGGTTTCCATTCACAACTTTAAAGATTATAGTAACTTATCATTTCTATAAATAGTTTTTTTGAATTATAGTGGGACTTGGGATCCCATATAATTCGTGAAGTCATACAATATGGGACTGGGAGAGATCTTATGGAAGAAATGAGAAGAAGCTGGATGATTCTCTTAGATAGTCAGAGAGCTTGTTGAGGGTTCAGGATCGAGAGATATATCGCTCATTTCCCTTTTTCTTCTTATTTATATGATATGTAGCTTATATCTGATGTACTTTTTTGATAGATAATAAAAGCTTCAATTTTACCTACAATGAGTTATAAAAATCCCATTCATATTTTTATTGTAGTGAATATAAATAAACTATAGTTAGTTATTATTTAGTTCTCACTGTGAAATAAATATTAGTTTAACATGTTGATCTCAAATACTGGTTCTAAAAAAGGTACACACACACACATTATATGTGCGCATATGTGTGTGTTTTGTCATAGAAGTAACATACAATGAGTGAAATAGTAACAACATTGATGATACGATATGGTGGAGTCTTAAAGTTTTTTGAAGATTTTTTTTCCAAAGTATGTTGGCGGCAAAACACGCTCACTTCGTGTTTCTAACGAGATAATATCTAAAATGTTGAAGACAAATTATTCAATCATTGAATTATGATAGCTCAAATTTCACGGTGAACATAGTGTGTTGTTTTTCGATGGATGATGAATTCGTTGCAACGCATGTTAATGATGATAATGAAATAGAAGTTATTTTAAAAATGACATGTAGTAAGCCATTGGCTAAAATGTTAGCATATAGTAAGCCATTGACACCAACACACCCACCCATAAACTATTATCTTAGAATACATGGAGAGAAGATGTTGGCATGTATATTAAAATTTTTCTAATTTTTTCTATTCATATTAAAATTATTTTTTATTTTATAGTTAGACTATTTTGTGGAGTTAAAATAAGGATGAAAAATTATATAGTGATGATAAGGATGCAGGTCATGATGAATGATATGATTTTTTTGCAACAACACTGGCTTATCCTACCATACCTCAAGGCTCATGGTTGTCTACTTACATGGATTAACATCCTATGACATATCCAGGTACATTACCATCACAAGGTGCTGAATGCTCAGACAGTGCTCATACATATGTATAGTAGTCGTCATTCAATCTATCATGGCGGTGGGAACTATCAGGATGTTTTACACATCCACATACACTATAGTAGAGGAAGTCGTTCTATGATGACAAAAAGTTCAGTATTGATACCCCACCAACAAATTTTTATTATCTGACACGAATTTTTGTGAAATTTTTAACAAGAAACATTTAAATTTTGATTAAGGGTCATTCGAAGCTTCGATTTCAGCAAACTTATAATCAAACTGATCAGCTGAATGAGACAGACCTAATGATATGAAAGTTAGTCCAATCCGGATCAAATCAAGCCCGGATCAAATCATTAAACCACTATTGGAGAATTTCTCGAGACATTTGAAAGGTCAAACGGATGTCGAATCTAGCTAGTTCATTGTCGAATCGAGCGTCTCGACAAGAAGAATCCCAAAAGCCCAAAATTGCTCAATTTCGACATCGTTAAGGCACTCAAATGTCCATCAAACGTCATCTGATCAAAGGAAGCTCTCTGGACCGTCCGATCAAAATGGTTCATATTC